GTATTTTAATATATGTGTGTGTTGTCTGTAGAAGCGTCTGTGTAAAGTAACGTTTGTGTATTTTAATATGTGTGTGTGTGTGTTGTCTGTAGAAGCGTCTATGTAAAGTAACGTTTGTGTATTTTAATATGTGTGTGTGTGTGTTGTCTGTAGAAGCGTCTGTGTAAAGTAACGTTTGTGTATTTTAATATGTGTGTGTGTGTTTTGTCTGTAGAAGCGTCTGTGTAAAGTAACGTTTGTGTATTTTAATATGTGTGTGTGTGTGTTGTCTGTAGAAGCGTCTGTGTAAAGTAACCATATTTATTTTCTGTTTCTGATGGGTTTTTTGTTGTTGTTGTTTGTTTGTTTTTAAATAGCTGGTAGAACTGTGTTATTTGATACAATCTCCCAACTCTTTTACCCCCCGTGATACATTTCTTTCCGCTTGATAACAAATATTCAATGAAAATTGTGTTCGAACTATTTGAAGACGTGGCTCGTTGGGGTGAACAGCATTCCCAAGATTAAATGAAAATATAAACCAACGAAAATTCACTTTGTAAAAAAAAATAGTAATAATAACAATTTGTTCTGGTTTGATTTTACAGAAATACACAATGAAACACGAGAAAGTAATGAATTTCAGCATTAAGCATTTTATCAAACCGAACCAAAGATAAAGACAAAACGTATAAATACCTAATTTTATAATAAGTTCACGAACTGAAAAATCTAATTATGTACTAGAAAGTTTCAAACAAAGTAAGACATAAAAATAAAATGTTTCTTAAACAGAGAACTTAAAACAGTTTATATTTTAATTTCGAAAATTGAAAAATTTCTAGTGATTAAGTAGACATGTTGAATGAATATATTTGGTCATTTAGTAAATATTTATTTTATTTTTCGGTCGATTCTAGAAAACTTACAGAATCGTAAGCCACAATAATGCACTTTTCTTTATGATTTTTGTAGTTTGTACTTATAATAAATTTACTAGTAAATGCATTGATTAATCAGGATTTCATAAAAGAAACGCGACACTTACAAAAGCCAAGGCAAAAAAAAGAAAGACTTATTATTCACAAGTACAAGATAAAGCATTAAGTAGTAAGCAAGTGCAAAACATATTACAGAAAATATTGAAAATGACAGGGCAATTTGTTTCAAAAGTTATAGAAAACCCCAAATTTAAATAAACAGTTTTTGCAACAACATGGTTTTTACATTCATCTTAACGTTTACCTCATTAAATGTAAAATATTCTTTAGGTATAAAAATAGATTTGTGAAATATTCAAAAGACTAAACAAGGTTCAAGTGAAGTATAAACTAGACATGGCGTATGCTTGATATGAGTTCGTGTCAGGGAAGTAACGTTGATTTAATGAACCAAACTTTCAACAGAAAATCGAAAAAACAAAAGCTTTAGAAGATTAGATTCTTCGTCAAACATTTGGTAATGATTTTTTTTATTGGAAAATAATTATAACTGAATATAAAGTGTTTTTTTTTTCTGATTACATATGACGTGTGTTACCAAAGTTGATTCCGCTAGCGTTAGCTCCTCTGTTAGAGCCGTATTGGAGGCTGATAATCGATTTACCGGCTTGAAGTTGTTCTTCTGTCCATTCTCTGATATTTGCCTCGGATTCTTTAGGTCCAAGGGACTTTTGACCATATTTGTAAGCCTGTAATGAAATCACAAATAGTTCAATTTATTCTACTAATTAGTGTATACTGCTTTCTTTAAGACATTATTTATTTACAAGTTACAGCTTTTACTGTAAGGATTTGTTTGTTTTGAATTTCGCTATCTGCTCTAGCCGTACCTAATTTAGCAGTGTAAGACTGGAGGGAAGGCAGATAGTCATCATCAACCACCGCCAACGCTTGGGCTACTCTTTTACCAACGAATAGTGGGATTGACCGTTACATTATAATGCCCCCACGGCTGAAAGGGCGAGCATGTTTAGTGTGACGGGGATTCGAACCCGCGACCCGCAGATTGCGAGTCGAGCGCCATAACCACCTGGCCATGCCGGGCTCTTTACAGTAAGGAAGATTTGTTTTTAGAACACGTACGACGTTTCGGTCACTGGTGCGATCATTCTTAAGTGATCGAAACGTCGTACCATAACCACTTGGCCATGCCGGGCTCTTTACAGTAAGGAAGATTTGTTTTTAGAACACGTACGACGTTTCGGTCACTGGTGCGATCATTCTTAAGTGATCGAAACGTCGTACCATAACCACCTGGCCATGCCGGGCTCTTTACAGTAAGGAAGATTTGTTTTTAGAACACGTACGACGTTTCGGTCACTGGTGCGATCATTCTTAAGTGATCGAAACGTCGTACCTGTTATTAAAACAAATCTTCTTTACCGTAAAAAGCTGTAACTTGTAATAAAATAATACCTAATCAGTAAGTAAACTCAAAACGAGACTATTTCTTTGAGTCAGTTAATCAAATGCTGATTTGGTAAACGTATACTAAAAAGCTAAATACTATATTTTTACTCTAAAATACACTAAAGTTAAAATAATTGGTTTTTCGATTATGTTTGTTTGTTTGTTTTGGAATTTCGCGCAAAGCTACACCGAGGGCTATCTGCGCTAGCCGTCCCTAATTTAGCAGTGTAAGACTAGAGGGAAGACA